AGAACATGTATTCTTCTAACACTACGCTGAAAGGTAAAGGGGCTCTCTCCATAGCAATTCCAGGGGAACTTGCAGGCCTTCATAAAGCTTGGAAACAATATGGAAGGCTTCCATGGAAAAGGCTTATAAGTCCAGCTGAGCGTCTCGCTCGTTTGGGATTTAAGATTTCACCATACCTCAACATGCAGATGCATAGAACAGAATCAGGAATCTTGGCAGATGAGGGACTTCGTCATGTATTTACATCAAACGGGAGTCTCTTGAAGACAGGTGAGACATGCCGTAACTGGAAACTGGCACAGACACTCAGAGACATTTCGAATTTCGGTCCCAGAGCCTTTTATAATGGATCCATCGGATCCAAATTGGTTAGAGATATTCACAAGGTTGGAGGAATACTGACAATGAAGGATTTGCAAAATTATAGAGTTAAACTGAGAAAGCCTATATCTTCTGACACTCCTGGGTTTAAAATACTGGCTATGCCTCCTCCTTCTGGAGGTCCTCCAATGATACTTGTGAGTACACATCTCTGTTCTTGCATTCTGTTTTGTCTTTTTTTTTAAAAAAAAAAAAACAGAACTTCAATTCCACTGTTACAGATGCTAAACATTCTTTCTCAATATGGAAATGTTTCTGGAGTTTCTGATCCTCTTTGGGTCCATCGGGAAATCGAGTCCTTGAAACATGTATTCGCGGTGAGGATGAATCTTGGTGATCCTGAGTTCGTTAATGTGACTAATGTTCTAGCTGACATGCTTTCTCCTAAGTTTGCTGAGGAGTTAAAGAAGACCATATATGACAACAGGACTTTTGACCCAAGCCATTATGGAGGCAGGTATGTTGTTTCATTGCCAACAATATTTATTATCTGTTAGATTATACATTCGTTTAACTAATTATTCTTGTTTTGGTTACCAAATGTTCTCTCACTTCTGTCCAAGATTTATTTATATAAATTCTGTTTTCTTGCTAATGCATGGAATAGTACATATATGCACTTGAGTAGCAATGCTTCAATGTGCATAGAACTAATGTTATGAGTTCCTGATTATATTACTGAATTCGTTTTCTCGGTGACGACGAAGTGGTTTAAAACTTTAATCTCTTTGTAAAGTAATTATCTTTAAAAATGGTGGCACATTGAGTTTGTTTGTCTCTATTTAATTTGCTACTCAAGCTTCTTATGCGTCCATTTAGAAGTCCATTTACTTCTAATGCGTCTAGTTTCATCTATTTCAGCTGAAGGGAATGCTATCCACATGTATGCAAGCATGACTACAAAGATGTACTAAACTATTTTTCATCATTTACTAATTCATTCATATTGGCAGTCAACAATGGATAGAAAATGGTAATGTTGCGATATGAATGTTGTGGGATTTTAGTCTAAATTATGTACAAAATCTGCACTGAAGCAGTAAAGCCCTGTGTACCAAAAAAAAAACGTAGTAAAACCCTGTGTAACTTGCTCTCACTCTCACTATGTCGCTTGTGCTTGTAGAGGCCCTTTTACATATTCTCCTAATCCAAGAATTTTTGTTTGTTTATACTAATCCTTGTTTCCCAACAGGTGGAACCAGATCCATGATCATGGAACCAGTCATTTGTCCATCATAGATAATGAGCAAAATGCCGTCTCCATGACTACTACTGTGAATGGATATTTCGGTGCACAAATACTGTCGTCAAGTACAGGAATCATTTTAAACAATGAAATGGGCGACTTCTCTATACCTGGAAATGATTCTACAGTTCCACCTCCAGCACCGCCCAATTTCATCAGGCCAGGAAAGAGGCCATTATCATCCATGACACCTACTATAGTCCTGAAGGTAATGCATAAGCGATATGGAGAAATGAGGAGAGAGAGAAGTAGAAGAGGGAGTGAAAGAGAGAAGATAGGGGTAGATAAAAGAACAATAGGAAGTTTCAACTTTAACGTTTTTCTATGCAGTGTATTCCTGAGAAATATTTCCATGTCTTCCTTTATATGCTTTGACAGGATGAGCAACTGAAAGCAGTAGTAGGCGCAAGTGGGGGAGGCATGATCATTGCTGCAACTGCACAGGTTCTTTTGAATCATTTTGCAAGGGGATTGGATCCACTCTCTTCCGTCATGGCTCCAAGGGTCTATCATCAGGTTTTCATTTAAGTCCCATCCAGATTACACACTCACTCACGCACGCAAGATATAACTTCAGTGCAATTTATACTTTTCAGAATAAGTTCTACCATTATGCTGTATGCTAAAGATGGTAACTGCTAATGCTGACATTTTTAAACCGAAAAATGGTACCTCATTGGGTTTGAGATATGTTATGTGACATAGAACCATGAGTTCCTGATTACAGTCAAGTTTCAAAATAGAGCTGAATCTCCAGTTCAAAACCCTTGAGCAACCTATCGTTGCTCTAACCCTGCCACCAACTGCTTCAGCTTTTCCAGTATTGAGCTTTTGTATTTTGTTTGATTAGAAGAGAGGCTTACACTTTTACCGTTCATAAAACGTAGAGTTCAATTTAGTTATCCATTAAAGCTTCTAATCTGATCCATTTCTGTCTTAACAGCTATTACCTAATGTGGTTCAGTATGAAAATTGGACAACCGTGACTGGTGATCACTTTGAAGTTCCTGCTCAAATCAGGAAAGCCCTACACAAGAAGGGCCATGTCCTAAATCCCCTTTCTGGTGGATCTATTTGCCAGTTTATAGTTCAACAAATAGAGGCTTTGAAGAGCAATGGAGGCACGAGGGAGATTGTGGCAGTTAGTGATCCAAGAAAAGGCGGTTTTCCTGCTGGTTTCTGAAATTGGGGGATGGTGCTAGTCGCTACGGAATTGAAGCTAGTTATTGCGTTTTCTCCCCCTTGTCCACAGTTAGTAACTAATTCAAAATTTCTATTATATAACAAGATTGACAATTGGTTTAGTGCAGTTCATTTTGTTTTTATCTTTCGCTCCACAGAAAAAGGCACAATGGTTATGACATTGCTAAAGAATTTGAGAAAATAATACTCAAATGATAGTTCCTCTCAACTCAAAGAAGGTGCATAATCCACAAATAGTCTCAAGAAGGCTCTCAACTCAAACTTGAGCAAATGAGTGATATTATTAGCACTTGAATGAGAGATTAGTTTATACAAGCCAAGAGATTAGCAAGAGAAACAGAAAGTAAGTATAGGGGGAGTGAAGAGATAAAGTACCACAACATGGTTGAACAGCAGCAAGATGCTGTGTTCGGGTTTGAGGTGACCTCACATGATTTCTGTTGTGGAGTTGGATTTTCTGCATGGTTTGCTTTGCATTCAATCGTAAATTTTCATTAACTGGACCGGCTTGCTTTCGAAGATAGTAGCTTATTTGTAAGGCACCGGAATCCGAAACTAGGCCTTAGTCTCGGAGAAATGAAGGCTAGAATGTAGGGGAAGACCAAACAACCCTTTCTTTTTTCTCCAGCAGTAACCCAAATCGACGATCTAAATTAAATCTAAGCAATTTTAACAGTAAAAATAAAGATCAACGGCTGAAATTTAAATCCAACTATCAAAATAATATTTTAAATTAATCTAAATCAGATCCAACCCCAAAACTCACTCCAAATTCTATAAATACCCACTCATTTCTCAAATAATCTACCAAAATTCCTCAATGCCCAAAAGATGATGGAGAGGGCCAAGACCCTCTATCTAAAATTCTTGCCAAGCTTGGAGAAATATAAGAGAGAGAGCAAAGATAATGGAAAGGGGTTTGCTTCCTTTTTCTGCGACTAACTATACAGATTGCCCTGTGTTATCAAATTTGTTGGACCTAAGTGGAAGTCTCAAGGCTTGTATAAAAGCTACACTGACTGAACTATGTGTGAAGAATTGAAAAATGCAGCAGTCTTGATAACATTTTGGTGTTGGAACAAAAAGCTTCTAACTCTTGATTTAACCCTTTTTAGTGATTCTCCACTGATAGAATTAGGTTATCTTCCCAATCTAGTATTGGAAAGTACCAAATAATTAGTCATGGATGAAAATTTGAGCTTCAAAATAGACCTTAAAGTCACTTATGCCAAAAGAAGGGAGAGCTACAACAAGTGTTGAAGAAATAGTCCCACATCGACGTACCTAGCTTTAGACAGAACGCTTTATAAACACAGGAATGACGAGGAATATCGCCGAGCTGAGTAACGAGAGCTTGTAACCCAAGTGGGGGTATTATGGTGATGGAACTTTGGCACAGAATTAACGGGTCGGGTCTGGTGTGGCTCTTTACCGCCCCGCCCATTCCAAGCAAAGAGTTGTTCCATGTGGTCTGAGCAGAAAGCTCTGGGCCACGTGGCCTCCTAAAGAGGAGGGCACTGCGTGAGGCTGGGTTCACAGAGCAGCGACTACCTCCCGCTCTTTGCAGTGGAAGGATAACGGGTTGGTGCCACCTTGATCCACCGTGGCCCGCTAGACTGGTCCAAACGAACCTAATCCTTCTTTTTTGGTTTTATTTATCTCTCGCTCTTTCTCATCACATCGCCTCTTCTTGTTCTCATCTCTCCTCTTCCTTCTCTCTCTCCTCTTCGTCAACTCTAAAAAGTTCAGTGAGTTCGTTTGTTTTATTTAAAATTAATTTTCTGTAGATTTTGGTAACGTATTATGGAGATTCTCTTACAAGTCTATCAATTGCTTTCACTTTTTACTTTTTTCTTTAGAGTTCAATATTTTTTTTCTTCCTCATCATACATTCACTGTTAGGTAAGAATGATTCTTGTCAGAACTGGTTACTGAAAATTACGAAATGCAAGACCCGGTGAAGACGACGAGTCGCTGGACGAGTCGTTGTTGTTGTGCAGTCCTCCGGAACAACCCGCGACTCCGCGAGGTTCTCGGCTGTCGTTTCCGCCGAGACGACTTGTCGAGATCGAGATTCCTTTGATATCACTGTAAAATTTCTACCTTCTTCCACAAATCTACAAGCAAAAACAAAAATATGAAGAAGAAAGATAGGAGAACGAACTTGGAGAGATCAAGATCGAGGTGATCCGATTTGGTGAGCTTAGGCTTGGTCCTTTGAAAAAGTGTCGAGATCGAGATTCCTTTGATATCACTGTAAAATTCTACAGTGATATCAAAATAAAAAAATGGAAAAACAAAAACTGAAAGTTGGGGTTGAAGATGAAGATTGGAGACTAGAGCTTATGAAAATGAGCTCTGCTCTGGCTTCAACGCCAAAATAAAGGGATTAGAATTCCAATTTTATGTTAAAAGGGCAATAAAGGTATTTCATTTTATTAATTAAATTAATAAATGTACAGTTGTCAATTTTCGATTTTTGGGTTTTTTTTGAGCTTGTTTATAGAAATTAAATGGTATAGGATTTCTTTATAGCATTATGTCTAGGAATGAGTATTTCACTAAATTT